ATCAGATAAATAAGATTTAAACCAGCTTAGTGCTGAACCTTTTAGGCCAATTAAGTGATCCAGTCTCTGCAGTAGAATTTGATGGTCAATTGTGTCAAACGCCGCACTAAGATCTAATAAAACAAGAACAGAGACGAGTCCTTTGTCTGAAGCAATCAGAAGGTCATTTGTAATTTTAACTAGAGCTGTCTCAGTGCTATGATGCACTCTAAATCCTGACTGAAATTCCTCAAATAAATTATTATTATCTTGTTAAATAAAGGGTTAAAAAAAGCAGTATGGGGAAGACTTCCTTCTGAATTTTTTCTTCTGTGTTTACCGTAAGCAGTGACCTTTTATGACATAGATTTTAACTTGCTCTATTTCCTGTAGCTCCCAGGAAATCTGTTGGATGTATACCATAGCCCTGGAATGGCAGCACCTACTCTCACTGTCAGCAACTCCTGCCCCGCTGATCTTCCAAAAATTAAAAGGGAAATTACTGGTATGGTATTTTACTTTTCTAAACATGTTCTTTTAATGTTCAGGATGACTGTTTTTTATTTAGTATTTAATTGTATGTAACACTATGAATTTGTTTTGCAGATGCAGATGCCAAAGCACTAATGAAAGAAAGGCAGAAGAAAGACAACCATAACCTCAGTAAGTCAACCTTTATTTCACTTGACTTTGGTGAATGTGAATGCAGTGACATCAGGAATACAGTTTGATTGAATGTGACATGTAGATTCAAACACCCCATATGATATGATCTTTGGCTTGAGTTAACTCAACTACAACCCATTTGATGAAGGTAACTTAAGTGTGCTGCTTTCCCACTTAGCCTTGTCATTCTTGCTTTTCTACAGTTGAGAGGAGGCGAAGATTCAACATCAATGACCGAATAAAGGAGCTTGGTACTCTGATACCCAAGTCAAATGACCCGTAAGCGCAGACAGATTTTTCATGATTCATTACAAAATTACTGAATTAGATTTTTGGAATTTCATCTCTGTAACTGTTGTGTAGTAAAAATCTTTTTGTGTTTTATTTTCTTCACTGTCTCTACTATATATGTTTACTGATATCACAATGATGTCAGCGAGATGCGCTGGAATAAAGGCACCATACTCAAGGCTTCCGTGGACTACATCAGGAAGTTACAGAAGGAGCAGCAGCGAGCCAAGGATATCGATATGCGTCAGAAAAAGCTGGAGCAAGCAAACCACAGTCTAATGTTACGCATCCAGGTCAGTGTCTCTTGGTCAGCTGTGTTAGAAGGTGGCATATCCAGAAATGAAATACAAGAGCTGGGTATCGCTTGACTAGTTGTGGTCATCAAATTTGGCTACATACCTTGGAGGCACACTGTGGAGTGTTGGACCACTAGTGGCACCTTTACAATGATGAATGGGTCCCCAAATTGCTAATTTCTCCTGCTTGGACACTAAGTGCAAAGATGCACATGCATGCCACAAGCCTAGGCTTGTGGCAGGCTTGTGATGGGAAACTGTGTTCTGTTGTAAAGATTTGTTTTACTGAGTTAATATAGGTAAAGCTTTTATGCAACTAAGCCTCCCACCATGCAGACTTTGCATGTTTGGTCCTAAAAAATTTAAAAATAAATGTTTTTAGGACGTTTTTAAAAGGCAGGAAACATACCATCTGTTGATAGTTAGGCCTACAGGTCAGATTTTCTTTCATGCCTGTAAACTAAACTTAGATTTGGGGGTTGTTTTAAAACAGCACTGCACTAGTAATTAAAAATGTAGAGTAAGAAAATAGCAAAAGTGTAAACAAGACCACACTTGTTTGCAAGAAAAGTACACAAGGCAAGATTTATGTTAGTTGCACAGCCAAAAGACAGTAAAGATTAACAGTCATCCAAGGAGGTGATGTTTCAGTCCAAGAATTGTGCAGTTTACTTTCATTAGTTCTCGAATTTGACTTGGTTCCCTCGCTGCCACTTTGGATTACCAAAATTCAGATTTGCTTTGTGCAGCTTTAATCAATCTCATTCAGGCAACAAAGCTAAAATGTACTTTTTAAGGTATTGTTTATTGTAGGGAGATTACTTTTCACGTGCAAAACACAGAAACAGCTCCTGGGTATTATACAATAATACAATTTTCAGTCATTCCAGGACATGGCACCTGAATGTTAATGTGCCGATGTTCTTTTTAGGAACTGGAAATGCAGGCACGACTCCACGGCCTCTCCACCTCCAGCAGCATTGGACCTGGTCTGAGCTCTGATCCTTCTCTGCTCCATCAGCAGCAGGTTCAACAGAGCGGCCATTCTCTGCCTGCCGGTGCAGCCTCCTCCCAAAACCTCCTCAGTATAGGTGCAGCAGGCATCGGACAGCCTTTGCCAGCCTCTTTCCTATCCCCGCCTTCCTCAGACTCTCCTGCAGGAGTCACCATCAGCAGCCCCCTGGACCTGGGCAGCCTGAGCTTTGCCGAGCTAGACCACACCTCCGCCTCAGCACTCTACCCTGACGTTGGCTTGGGAGACATTCTTATGGATGACGGGTGCACCCTGTCCCCAGAGAGGATGGCTGAGCCGCTTTTTTCACCTCTGTCACCAGGTGCCTCGAAAACCAGCAGTCGCAGAAGCAGCCTTGAAATGGACGAGGAGTTGTGATGAGCTGTGTGGCGGTCAGAGACTGTCTGTAGGGACAAGAATGTCAAGAAGCACAGTCTACCCTTAAATAACACAAGTCTATTTATATGACTGTAGAATTGAACTTAGAGGAGCAGAAATAGCTAACATTAAGATCAAAACTAACAAATGTTGGAAAAAGTAAGTTCTTGATTTTTTTGCCATACAGACGTAATTATTATTGTTCCTGTTCGGAGCGGGTCAGATGATTATGTCTGGGTTTCTAAATGCAATCTTATTAAAATGGAATATATATAATAGGGGCATGGACTTTGCATTAAGAGATAATACATTCTTAAATAGTTTTTAAGATTTTCTTCAGAGATTTAAGAGGGATATAAAGTTTGCTTGAATTTATTATGTGCTCATTTATAGGGAAGAAAGCTGTGAGGTTTGTTTTTCACAACAAGACTGGCATGACAACTGATTAAGAGATGCCAACATACAATTTATTTTATTTTGCTTCTTTTTTCTTTTCTTTTTTTTTTAAACTGACTGGAATCAGGGTTTGTTAATGGCAGTCGCATGCTCATCCATGTTGGGTTGTTTCACCAGCAGCTACAGAAGGGATCTTTGTAAAGTGAATTGGCACATTGTGAAATATTTACTGCATATTGTATATAAGAATATTTTATTTTGAGCAATTTTATTGCACCTTATTTTATGGCAGTCTATGCATTTTATGAGAGCTTTTGTCTGTTTTTATTACATCACACACAGTGGACAGCTAATGCCCAGGTTGCATGTCTTTGTAATAATCCTTAAGAGCAATGGAAAATCACTTGCTGCTGCAGCTAGGTAGCCAAAGCAGGACTTCTTCCAGAGTAGCTACAGATTACAAATCAAAGTTTTATTTTTTGAATATATTCACTCAGTCAGTGGAAATGCAAGACAGTATGAGAAATGCAGAACAATTTTATCTTTTTACAATAGTACTGTAGATCTTTACATTTTAGGTTGTTTTTTTGATACCTGAATAATAGTTTGATAAGTAGTTTCTCATGACTAATATCTGTGTTGTCAGTGATTGTTTGTCTGTTAACCTCCATGGTCACTGAGTGATTTTACTGGTTAGCATGTTCTACCAAGATTGTGGCTTTTTTCTTCTTCTTTTTTTTTTGGATGATCAAAAGTGATATATCTAATTATGCATTATTGCTCATTGTAGTGTGAATGCAGAGGGCTTTGACCTTCTTTTAAACCAACCACTAGCCTCACCTCTGTAACGATAAGGTATAATTGTTTGTTGTGTGAAACCTGCAATGCAATTATTATTCTATAAAATAGCCACAGACTTTAGAAAGGCATTTAATTTGTCAGATGCTTAACGCGACCTTATGTACAGTTAATGAATGTGTGTTTGAAAAAGTACTTGCCTAAGTGTAGTTGTTTATGTTTTTGGTTTTTTTTTTAACACAGACGCACTGTATTTTTTTCTTCCTCCGACACAGCCTCCAAGTTATTGATATACATCAATTTTATACTCTTCAGCAGCTAAAAACATCAGCACTGGTTTGGTGTTTTGAGGGTTACAGTGACTTTAAGATGTCCTCTACTGGTCATTCAGAACTTCCACACTTTATTTTTGAGCTCTACTCCAGAGCTCAGTCCCTATTCCTGTAAGATTAAGTACCTATGGTTATCTTTTTCCACTCATACTTAATCCCTCTTCACATTATTAACCATGTCTTACCTGGACATATATTTGAGTGCTAACATTGACTGTTTACCATAAACAGGTAGCATATGTGTCTTGTCCCTACAAGTTGGCTTTCGAAAGATTTTAACAAATAAATGATTCCCATTGGTTCATCTCTGGATGTGGTTATTTGTTAGCAGTCAGCATTAGTGGTAAAGCATTTGAGAAATTTCCATAGCTAGGTCCAGGCACTCTGTTGCCTGAAGACAGATGTCACAGACAGGACAGTCGCACATGAAGCAGCGAACACCCAAACACCCGCAGAGGTCACATTGGCGAGTGACGTCCAGGAGGGGCTGTAAGGTGCCGGGCTCGCAGCCGCACAGGGAGGAGCACAGCGACCAAATGCAGTGGTTGCACCCTCTCGTCACAGCCAGTAAACAGTCCAGTGGGTGACAGAAGAGGCAGGCCATAAGGATTGCAGCACAAAGGTCTCAGGGAAAGAAAGGTAGTGAGGAAAGAAAAGAAGCGAGGTGAGAGAAGAACGCTTTAATTTGAGGACAAAGCTTTGTAAAGAGAAAATCAATGAGGAATACAGAACAGTTATGTGTCCTTACCGTCACCATCTGGCTCAATGTGGACAGTAGTGGTTTTCAGACTGCTTTGACTCCTGCTGATAGATGTAAATGACTGACTCACATCATAGGCTGTGCTGGCCTCTATAGAGGATGGCAGCAGGGCACATAGAGGCTTTGGTTGGTGTTTCTCCACAGAGCATGGGCTGCAGATGGATACTGCTCTGGTCACTCCACCTTTTGGGTTATTATCCAAAATGGTTTCAACAGAGGCTTCTGCACCAGACATAAAAATGAACCAATGACACAACTTCATGAAAACTTTAAGAGGAGCAAGCTATTAAAGGAATACTTCACCCCCAAATGATCGTTTGCATAATCAGCCTGTGGTTATGTTGAATTTGGGGAGAAACCTTATTTTGTCTCGTGTCAGTGGTGAATGAAAAATCCCAAAAAGGTCAACATTCTTGATGAAGTCATAGGGGTCTGTGAGCGCAGGATCATATTTTCACTGAAGGTGCTGCACAGTACAAATAATATAGTAATATAGTGTTCATAGTTTCAGTTACCCGTAGCTGTTTTGGGGAATACATTCACAGAGATGTCAGTTGCAGATAATTCGGCGTCCTCAGTGGAGACCCGTTTTGAAAAACTAGTGACTTCAGTCAAAGATCCTGTGAGAAAAGAAAGTTCAACTTTTCTAAGCAACTGCGACTCATTTCTTAATTCAGCACTGTGAACCCTGTTCTCTGTAAACATACCTGATGGGCCTGCGACACAGTTGTCTGGGATATTGGGCAACTTTAAAGCAGTGGTTAGTGAGTCATCGTCACTTTTATCACTCGAAATTTCATTCATATCTGTGGAATCCAGTTTGGCATCCATTGTGGCATCCAGTTAAATAAATCATCTGCTTCAGTCTCTAGAAAAAAGTGAAAGACAACCAACTAGGATTATGAGGGAGGACAAAGGAAACCAAAAGAAACATCTTTTCTTAAACTGAAATCATATGCTTACTAATGTACAATTAAACCTCATCACTGTCTGTAGATACCACAGACCCTGAGTCAGATCTCTAGCTGAGGTTTCGTAGCCGTTAGTGATGAGTGGACATCTTGGAAATTGCAGAGAAGTTAATCTATTATTAATCACCATTTTGGAAACATTTATAATGTAGATGAAAGGCGGCACAGGGATATCCTGACAGCTATATGAGAATGTGAGATCTTGATTTTGCTATTCATTATTAATTCATGTCTTCAAGTAATATTTACCTTATGTGGCATTTTGAAAGGGTTTTTTTAGAGTATTATTTTATTTGCAGAAACAACAGTGGAAAACACTGTTAGTTTGTCTATCTGGAATATTTTATCCAAATTTAATACTTTATAGTCCAACAAAATGTATGGGGGATATCCAATAATCACTTAGAGGGGATTCAAAGGATGTAAATAGGGTATAATGTAGTATTGTGTCAAAATGATTTACATTCAATAAACTTGATAATGAATAAATAAATGAATAAACTGATAGCCACAGCCATTAAATCTTGAACACTGTCATATACAGGAATCCATAAAGCTCACACAGTGTTTATATCTCTCATTTTATTATTGCTCTCTGCATGATAAGAGTTTTGTAAGAAATTTATTGTACTCACTTTTCATGGCATGTTCTCGAGGTAGGCGATCCAGCATGCAGCGTTAATCACAGACACATCCCTAAGTGACCGGTCAGCTGTGGAGGTTTAACTGTATCACACAGGCTGTAGCCTCTCTCTATCTCTCTCTGTCCCTCTGTCTGTCCCTCCCTCGCTCTCTCTGTGCTTGGATGTGTGTGTGTGTGTGTGTGGCCCTGTTTCGACCTGGTATTAACATGTGTTTTGGTGATCCAAACACAAGTAGACAGCCGAGACACATCACTGTTCACACTTGTGCCTTTCATGTGTCTCCAGCTGACCACTTGTGTTCAGATTTCATCACTGCCCCGTGCACAGTTATTAGGTCCACCGCGGTTGTAGTGGTTATGTCAATAGAGCTGGAGAGATCGTTGTCAGCAGAATTCAACATGTCTCCTTCCATTGGACAAAATGAGGGATGGTCATGCAACACTTCGTTCAACTCGACCTAAAATGGGTTAGTTATAGAGCTTTTAGCACACCGTCACCAAACCAAACACCACAGTTGCACTAATAACGTAGTCCTTGTTGGGGACGCATCAGGATGCATTAGTGTTTATTCTACAAAAGATATGTGGTCAAATGTGTCCCAGACCACCTCAGCAAGTAGTTTGGGAGATCAGAGGTCTCCTTTATTAACATTGCATACACTCAAAATGAGTCCTGAAAGACACATACGCCACTTCTTGCAGAAAAATTGTTATCTACAAAGACAGACTTTATGGCCCATGCTTACAAACCTTTTGGAGATGGGAAATTGACGATGCAGATAGTGAGGTGGAAGCCTTGATTTTAGAAATTGTCAAATGTTGTTTTGGCACACGCCATTGTTGGCTTTTGTCAGTACGTACATTTTTAGTATGGATCCTACCCACTGTTCTATAAATGAGACCCCTGATCACAATGCTTCTTGATGTCATTTAGACTTGTATTTAGTGCTGTCACCTTGTGACTAGATCATCCAAAATGTATGTGTGTGTGTGTGTGTGTGTGTGTGTGTGTGTGTGTGTGTGTGTGTGAAAACAGGGACAACAACAACAATGGTTGTATTAATATTGCTTATTTAGACAAGTGCAATTGTCCTTCTGTACACTTTGTAGGTGGGAGTAGGTTATAGTACCCAGTGTCTGGTGTATTTATCTAAAAAGCTATAAACAAAAATCCGACAGGTGGCAGTAGTGCACCACTGGATATTATTTTGGCACCAGAGAAGAAGAACCCGCCAAACGATATTTTTACGAGTAGTAACGAGTTCAGCCGAATGCCGGCGATGTTATGTACGTGTAAAGAAAGCTAGCTACCGAGCTAATATCGAGTTCACCGCTTTGGTGCTATATTCGTCGCCTTTCCATTAAATTTGCCAAACAGCTTAAGAGTGTAGCGGTACAAGTCTCACATCATGGTAAGTATGAGGTAAAAAAGACCTTTGCGATTTGGCGAAGTTAACTATTAGGCGACGTTAGGTTAACACTCAAACGACATAAGTTTACGTCCCACAGGAGTATGTTGTGATCCAAGTTATATCGTTGTAATATAAGTCCTATAAATGCAAGATAGTAACGTTAAAGCGTAAGATAACGTTAAATTAAAATTTGTCGTCACAACTTAGTGTTTATGTGGTACAGCAAAGTAAGCTAGCTGGTAAACGTTAACAATCGAAAACTGACAATTAAGCTAGCTGATGCTAGCTAACTACTGTGCAAGCTAACTAAAGCACAGTAACGTATGGTCTGCGTGTAAATAAAGCAGTTGTTTGTTTATGAGTTTGCCTTTTACTGTGTGTTTTAGTTAGCTGACCAACTCCTTATATTTAAAACAGCGTCCGCAATTCAATACATTAAAGTCTCTTTCTGAATATTACAGTCTATTGATGATACAGTTTGCTAGCAAACGTGAAATAATGATAATGGGCACTGGACATGTTAACAGTGTTAGCTATAAAATCAACTACTCAGCTACAAATGCTAGACACCATGTCTTGGTCCTTGCAGTGTAAAAAAATGTATATTTTTCATAAAAAAAGAGATCTAAAGGTTGAATTTGTTGTTTAGCAAAGGAAGAATGGTCTGTGTTAGAATAACGTACTTGTATGGCGGGGAAACCCAATGCAATGACCAAGGTAGGAACAATTCCCAGTTACTGAGCAGGGAGACTGTATTACAGCAGAGCGTCTCACTGCTAAGCACATAAGCTGTTTGTAAAAACAAAAGAATATTGTGTTATTAAATGCACATAAAGTCTTGGCTCTCCTTGATTAAATGTCCCTGCAGCTCAACAATCAGTCATCAGTCGTGGACGCACCTGCCTATAATTTCACCAGTTATAATATGGTTTGTGATGCATATTATGCTTTTCAGGACAGCGAAATGTCTGACGTTGACCCCGCACCAGGACCTGAGACCAGCAGTATGGAGGGGGAGAACGCACCACTGTACTGTATCTGCAGGAAACCAGACATCAACTGCTTCATGATGTAAGTACTTTACACTGATGGTGTTTTTTTTCAGTCATCATTGCCTGTGAATGCAACAATGCACATACATTATTACCTACATTTGCTTCTCTCACTGACAGTGGCTGCGATAACTGTAATGAGTGGTTCCATGGCCACTGCATTAACATCACAGAGAAAATGGCAAAGGCAATCCGGGAATGGTATTGCATGAGATGCAGAGGTAATAAAAAAAAATTCCTCTGTTATTACAGCATCTAAAAGTGCCATGCTTAACAGTAAAATATTTCAATAATCATCAAAATAAAAAAGATATTGTTGTGTTATTCTCCCTGTGACCAGATAAAAACCCCTCGCTGGAAATAAAGTATAGATCAAAGAAAAGCAGAGAGAAGGAAGTTGAGGTTGACAGAGGATCTGACAAACAGTACAGCACCCCGAGTACTCCTGACTATAAGAGCGAAAGAC